TGGACGTGCACGATTTCTGGCGCGTCCGATTCTTTCAGCATTAAAGCGGCTAGCAAATACGCGGTAATTAAAAATGAAGAATTTTAAGCCGCGGAAGTGGGACGCAGTCGGTGCGCTTTGGTATAGCAGTTTTTTTACTTTTTCCCCGATAAAGGTTATTTCCCTATTTCTTTCGGGAATTTGAATTTTAAGACCAAAATAAGTGTAAATCTGCGCGGCTTCGTCGGTTCTGGGAATTTTGAGGTTGATACCGTTTATGCCACGATCAGAGCACTGCTGCAGTGCCAGCTTTTGTCGTTATAAAACGTACTGACGCCAAGTTGCTGATCGTTTGGTGGAGGATTTCGACATATTGGCTTGCGATATCCTCCCTCCAAAAAGCAAATGGAGAAGTAAGGATCCCAAAATAGATTCACTTTCTTCTCTGGGATTGTCTTTGTCTTGCTTTGTTCTGCTCTGAATCAGCTGCAGGGCTGTTGGTGCAGTGTATCTCTTTGTTAGAAATCACCACCAGATTTCATTAAGAGTGTAAACAACTAGCAGTCCTACTTCTCTTGAGGGGCTAACGTTTTAATAATAAATTAAGTAGATCTGGGATGCCTTTGCACTGGGGGTATTTTTGCTGTGTAATTCATAATGTCATTGTCTTAATAAAATGTCTTTATGCTCGGGAGTACTGCCTTAAATGACGAAATGTGATGTAAGAGCATGGCTATGTGAAGTACTGAGCATCCTACTGTCGCTAGTGGGGCTGAATTGGCATAAAATGTCGTCTTTGCTAGATCGAATCTGCTCTAAATGCAAATGCAATTAAAAATGTATGGTGCTGCATGTCAAGCATTAATCTTCTGTTTCAGGTATTGTTAATATTCTGCAGCATTAACCCACTTTCAGCTCGTGAAACTGTATAAAAATGTTAATTTTCTGCTAGAATTACAATGTTACTGTTAAAGGACCGTTCCTTATAGCTGCGTTACCTGAATCGGTGTTTCTCAGTGTCACATGGAACATAAAGCAGATGGCGATGACGCTGGAGGTGATCTGCCCGGCGAAGATGTGGCCAGAAGTCATGGCCGGCACTGGGATGAGTCTGGGCTTGGAGCAGTGCTGAGAGGGCTTGGGGAGAGGATTGTAGTGGAGCTCCATCCCCATTCCACTCCTAGCAGCTCTCTGGCCATCCACCTCCATTTCTGCCGGCTGGAATAGACAAGAGCCTTGCCAACTGCCCCAGGCCTCCGCTGAGCTCGTTTAGGGAGAGGCAGGTGTGGCTGAGCTAGGGAAAAAACTGGAGCAGAGCTGAGAGGACTATGATGCCAGTGCAGCTCCTGTACTGCTTCCTGCTCTAGCCACACTCTTCACACTGCATCCCCTTCTCTGCTTCCTCCTGTTCCTGCCTGCACGTCCTCTGTAAATCAGGACGTATTTTGGAGGGCCAGAAGGGAGGAAACCGTAGGAGGGGATATGAAGCACTTTATGGGGAAATGCGGACAATTTTTTTTTTAACAATGGCTAAGTTGAAACAAATGTGTGCATTTGAATGTTGAAATCCAATACTTAATACAGTGAACCTTCCAGCAAGAACAGGAATATACCAGCAGAGATGGGATTGCATGATAATGGGTTTGAATTTGTACTGTATCTTTCCGGAAAACTTCAATAGAGAAGTAAAACTAGTCTGTAACGAATACTATAAGAACTATAATGTAAATTCTAGTAAAATTGCCTGTAATACCAATTCCAGATGCTTGTTTTTAAAGTGGTAGTTCCTTAAAAAAAAAAAATTTCTTTCCATTAGCACCTGTACTAGAATTTGACTATCTCATCTGTGGAGACTGTGGCAAAGAATTCATGGATTCCTACCTTATGCAGCACTTTGATTGGGCAACATGTGATAATTGCAGGTATTACAAATAATCAGGAGAGGGAAGCTTCATTTTATGTGAAGGTTGCTGGCTGTAATTTAGTTAATTACAATCATTCTGTTCAATTAAAAAGGCTGTCAGCAAAGAGACGTTTTTTCAGTAACTTAGTACCTACTGAAAAAATAAATGGAAGTTGAGTGATAATCTGTATTTTCCATTATGGAAGTGAAGAACAGCAGCATTGTCTCATGAGCCTGTCTTAGGATAGGGGACATCAGTAGATTTTTACATAACATTGTGGAAACACAATGTCTTGAGAGCAGTCAGTGTGTTTGTCAGCATGGAAATTAATGTCTGGTTGCAGACTAGAGCTATTCAAAAAGCTGGTAGAACACAGACTGAAGTAGAGCGGGGATTAGGAGCGTGTTTGCTGTCCTAGTGAATTAACCCAAGTAAAGTTAGTACTTTGGTCAGCACAGGTGGGCTGGAAGCGTGGCAGGCAAAGGGCAGAACGCAGAACCCCCACGGGAGGTTACCGGTTGACCTGCAGGGTGAGCAGGAGTTTGACCTTGAGCGGAAGGCAGTCTATGCACTCTCTTATCTTTAACACAGAAAATGCTCCAAAAGCCATCAAGATAACCAGGGCAATGAAACCAACTCTGAAGCGGCCAACCACCCATAAGTGCAAGAATGAATGGGTGGAGGAGGAAAAAAAAAAAGCTCAGAGCTCGGAGTTTGTTCTGAGAGCTTCCCTGCTTACTACAGGGAGTGGTCAGGGGTGTGCACGTGGTGTAGGCAGTTCACAGTCGTTAGAGGCAAAGTGCTGTCTCTTGAAGGTAAGGTGGGTGGAAAAAGGATGTGGAGAGGGCTCGGAGCCTTAGGAGTGGCTTTCCTTCGGACTAAGTATCTCTTGTAGCTGAATGTTTAGAGACTCCTTGGCGCATTAGGTTTTACTGTGAACTTTGAATTCTAGTAAAGCTGCATTTACAGCAGTACTTCCTTGATGACTGTTGTTAGCACTTAGTGTTCAGCAGATTGTTCCGGCTCAAGCAATTCAAGTTACGCTTCGGTCAGGATTGCGTAAATGCGATTTCTTTTCATTAACTCATAAATGCTGCTGTGGTTACACAGTTTTTCGTTATCTGCCTGGTAAAAGTTAGTCTTTTAAGGTCTTTATTTTACAGTTCCTCTGCTTACTGTCTTGCATTTAGAAACAAGCACTCTGTTGCTAATCAGTTTCTGGGATCTAGAAGCATATGGAGTGTGTATATTCTCAGGTGATCTGACCTGTCTCGCATTACACGTTCTTTCTCTCGACCATGCGTTGGGCTTGTACTTTTGTCCTCTTGAATTGCATCTGGGTTAGGTGCAATTATTCATAGTCCTTTTAAGTTTCAGTTACTCCCTCTTGTAAGAAAATAGAAGAAAGCCCTTCTAGAACAACAGGCTTCTCAGTCTATGTTTGCTCAAATGGGAGAATTTTTAAACTTAATTTCTGTAAGCCAATCCTGGAGTTTAGCTAGATTGTTGGAATCCAAAGTTACTTGCATACATAAAAACTGAGAGGATAAGGGCTGCCTGTATTTCAGGAATGTTAGAGGTGATGGGGACTTAGATGTGGTTAGACATGGTTTTGGGGTGCAGCTTTCTCATCATTATTTTACATCTTCCAGAGATGCTGAAGATAAACATAAGCTTATAACAAGGACAGAAGCAAAAGAAGAGTATCTTCTTAAAGACTGTGACTTAGACAAGAGGGAACCAGTTCTCAGATTCATTGTGAAGAAAAACCCTCATAATTCACGGTGGGGTGACATGAAACTTTATTTAAAACTACAGGTATAGAAACTGTTAGCGTATTTCAGACCTCTTTTTACTCTCGTACAACTTTGGTAGCCAAAATGGTGTCACTTCGGTTCTGATTCCTGAATGATTTTGTCAAAGTGAAGTATATTACACATAGCTTGTGTAAATTTTCTTTAAAGAGCTGTGGTCCAAATTCATGAAAACGTCTGTGCTTGAGAGCATTTTAAAGATGTTCGTGGACCACAACCTCAGTGGTTTGCACAATTGCAAGTCGTGAAGTGCATGGCCTTTCAGTGCTACTCTGAAACGCATGGGGCAGTTGCTGTTGTGTGTGGCCCTTTGTCACTGGCCTTGTGTTCACAGCTCTGCCCTCAGAGGCAGCAGGAAAGGCAAGTAGATTTTCCGGGGCTCTTGTCACTTCTTGTTTGCTACTTTTATGGGAATCTTGCTGCTTTAGTGGAATATGCACAAAATTAGAGCTGGATTTTACTTTACTGAGTAAGTTACATCTAGCTGATACTAAAAATCAATGTTGCTTCTTACTGTGAAAGGAATGTTTGCTGGTCAAGAGCAAAGAGACAGGTGTGAGGCAGAGGCAAGATTGGGTTGACTTGTGTATGGGTAGGGAAAAAATTAAATGAGTTAGAATAGTTTATTTTTATCATTTTAGGGGAAAAAGAAACACATTTATGTCCATCCTGTAGGTAATCGAGCGTTCTCTTGAAGTCTGGGGTAGTGAAGAATCATTGCAAGAAGCAAAGGAACTCCGCCGTGACAGCAGAGAGAAGATGAAACAGAAGAAGTTTGATAAGAAGGTTAAAGGTAAAGGGTTAAACTTACATACTGCAGTACCTGAAGTAACGTACAGTTCTGTCTGAATTTGTTTCTGCATCTGATTAAAGTGTTGAGAAAATCCTCGGTGTGACAAAATGGAGGTTTTCAAGAGCTGTGTGGGTAAGCCCGGAGCAGTCTGGTCTGACCTCATAGCTGACTATTTTGGGCGGAGGGTTGGACCGGAGGTCTGAGGTCCCTTCCAACCTGAATTACCCTGCTGTCCTATGGACATGATTAAAGTGACAGAAATCAATTACGACGGTTCATTATGGTGTTTTAAACTTTTTGGTATGGCCCGGAGTGTGCCATAGTTGGATAGATTGTTCCTGTTACTTCTCCTGACTTGTGGAGAGCATGGATTTTTGTGGCAGTGGGTTATGATTCTGTCATACATCTGCCTTCAGGTGGAGTAACTGTAAATGAGGGTAGAAAATGCCTTTTCCCACTGTTCACAGCATTCCCACCTGCTGTTTTTACTGCTCATTATCCTTGTTTTTTCCTGATAAGTATTTAGGAGAGTATTCAATGGGTAGAACTTATGGAAAATACTTTCAGCACAGACATGCTAGTAATTTTAAAAAAGACTGCATGTTTGTTTCTTTGCAAGAGCTGTGGCATACCGTGACATCTGTGCTGCCATAGCATCCATGCTTCACTTTGGGTCGGCATTGACAGAGGCAGAAAGCGTAAGCTGGTTGTATTGGTATTGTCTGGAGGAGGCAGAACGTGAGACTGAGCAAATAACCCCTGTCTTGACCGTTGGTGTTCAGCGCACAGAAGGACTGGCAGCAAACTGTAGTCAAGATGTCAGAGTTCAGTGCAAGTACAGGCCTTAACGTGACCAAGTTTGCAGCCTGAATGGCTTGGCTCAAAACAGGGCTACATTTTGCTGTTAGGCATGCTTGCCACCCCCTTGCAACATCCGGATAATATCTTGGGGCTCAACTGCCAGCCTGTGCTTTCTTGAAAACCCGCTGACTTCACTGCGGCTGCTGCAGAGGCAACTCACGTTATTGGGCATAAAGCTGAGAGAATGCCAGCTCATTTGGGAGGCTTACTGTGACCTGAATGAAAAGTACTCTTTCTCGGTCATGTAAAACAATGGGGTGTTTTATAAAAACTTTCCCTCTGCATTCCACCTACCCCTTTTAGACACCTTTGAATGGCTTCGTGTAAAAAGGCAGTGGGCAACACGTACATAGTCCAGATGGAAAATCTCCTGTGAGATCTTGTCTCACTGTAGTTCTTATCCTCTAAAATATGCAAACGAGGTGAAGATTGCAAGGCAAGTCAGAGCTTGTTCTTGCAATAGCAGATTCTCACCCAAAATTTGTGGAAGACGGGCAACAAGCAGATCGTCATGTGTAGTCCTCAGAAAGGTGGTTAGCTTGAGTTTTATTAACCATTATTTAAGATTTATTAAAATCTTAAAAATTTCTTACATTTCTCATCAGAACTCCGTCGTGCCGTGAGGAGTAGTTTGTGGAAGAAAGAAGCTAGTATCCATGAACATGAGTATGGACCCGAAGAAAACATTGATGAAGATACATATAAAAAGACCTGTACTGTATGTGGCCATGAATTAACTTATGAGAAGATGTAGTGTTAATCTTTTTTTTTTATTATCTTTTTAATGGTATTTTGTATTAAAGTCAAATAAAAGCTAATTATGAACAAGCTGTTGCTGAATTCTATAAAGAATGATGCTCCTCAGTTGGAAGAAGCTGTTCAGAACAGTAAGCTTTGGCTTTCAAGCTACATCGTAGGATAGGATTTAACATTTTTAACAGTTCAGTGGTACTTTATAGGCCAAAAGACTTCATACGCTGATGAAATGAAGGTGAATTTCCCACTACTTGCCTGCTTCCCTTAGAGGAGGAAGGCACTGTGTTTTGTCTGAACTGTTTGGTTTCCAGTTACTGTCATGGGCAGGCAGAGGGCAACTAGCTGATAAAGCACCTCCTCCGGCAGTTGGAGACTGTCACGAGGCGGGTTCCCTTTCTGCTTGGATTGGGAGGTTCAACTCCATTAAAGGAGAATTCTGGTTGGGAAAGGAGAATTCTTTCTCAAAAGGGAAGCCATGTGCTCCTGGGGAGGTTCTGACATATCTCTACCATGTTTCATAGGAGAGAGTCCTTAAGTGTATCCTCTACTGCTTTTTTTCTACGTTTTGGACCAAAAACCAAGGTGACAGCTTACAATACAACTTCACCCTTACCATTTACAATTTTCTGACAAATATGTATTCTTGGGGGAAGGGGGGGGAAGTAGCATTCCAAGGCAGGTATCTCGAAGTGCGCCAGAATGATGGTCGCTTTCAGTGATTTACTTTGGAAGTTCAAATTTCAAATCTTCAGTTCTTAGAGCTGTTGTAGAATGCTTGAGGAAATGGCTGAAGTGAAGGAACGTGCTCTAGGCATGATCTGCCATTGTAAATCGGGCAGATCCCAGTGAAGACTCTGGAGACTTCTTAGGGGAGCCTGGGCCCCCACAGCCTTCTGTGGCTGTGCAGAACTGAAACATTACAGGAGGAGAGGTGTCTGGGAGGGCAGATGATGGTTCCAGTAATACGCCTTCGCTTCTGCAGCCCTCAGCGACCCACCTTCCCACCAGGCACGCAGGACTCGGGGGCCCTGCGAGGCCTAGGAAAGTGACGTGGGGTTGGCTGGAGGGCAGGAGGCAGGTCCTGGCAGAGCTTTTGGAGGTAGTTCTCCAGGTCATGTTTCTGTGACCTGGTGGTGTCTTGGGTCCCAAAACTCCTCTCTAGGGCACCTGGGTGGTGTGCACTGGCTGCTGAATCACTTACCTGTGGGCAGGCCACAGCAGCCACTCCTCAGCAACCGCCACCGGCCCACCCCTGCCTCACCCCCTGCAGCACCGCCCAGAAGACAGGAGGTGGCAAGGGAGAGGAATTTCGACATCAGCACCCTCTTGGCATCTAGCAGCACGCATATTCACCTCACTTGGCTGCGCAGGTGTGGGAAGCATGTTAGATCAGCCCATAGCTCAAGGAGCTGGTGTGTTAGTCAGGGTACCAGCAACAGAGCAGGGGAAACGGAACTGCTCCAAACCCGACTTCATCTAACACCAGCACAACCCTGCCATGACTGCTTTACTTCAGTGGCCCCAAAACAGGTAGGACAAACACTCCCAGTAGTAACCTCCTTCACCTTCCTTTATTTTTGTCTTTAATTGTGCATTTTTTCCAACCACATCACATTTCTACAGCATCTTTACACTATCCGCCGCCACCTCATGCTTCAGCAGTTCCAAGTTTCTCCAGTTAGATGCTGGTGTCACTATGCAAGCGTCTCGTTCTCTTTCCTACAGATCCAACCAGTTTCCCAGTCAAGTCAGGTGTACGCCACCTACAAAGAGGGGAAGGTTTCCTACAGACTCAAGAAATGTAATCAAAGCCCATGCTTACCATGGAAGTAAAATCAATTTTGAAAGACGTTGCTATTTGGTTTTAAATCATAGGATTACGCTCAGGCATTTGCAACTGGATCCCCAGCACCCGTATTTGCAAGGCTCAGAGGAAGTTACAGGTTTGCAAGTTTTAACTGCGTTATCACTTTTACAGAAGTCACATTTATAGTCAGTCCCCTATTAGTTAATATCAGAACTCTGATACTGATCTGAGCCAGTGAAAAAACTATTAAACCCCAATTAAAACCTCTACAGTATTAAATGTTTCTTAAAAAAAAAAACGCAACCCTATTTTGATTACTCAAGAACATTAACAGAGAAATATTTGAAGCAGAAGTCTGTGCATAACCGACAAAACCCTTGCATAAAGCAAATTTACAACAATTAACAGCATATCCTGAAAGAATGGAGGGATCAGTCAAATCAGAAAGGGCAAGCAGAGAAAGCAGAAGTAACAGATCTAAGTCTATGAGGATATATCGGATTGCTACAGGCCACACACAAACTTACGTCAACACTCAAAGTAGAAAGTTCCGTTTTTTACCCTCCTCTCTTGATCAGGACATCAGTTGGTCAACGTGCAGATGAAATGCATTAATAGGTATAATACTTGAAAGAATAATTGGTACAGGAACAAAATTACTCAAAAGCTCACCACTTTCTAAGCTTAAACTGAATAGCATTGCATATGAAATTCTTTAAACATTCATCTGCAAAATGAAGAAACCATAAACAGCGTGTAAATACACTGCACACTGACGGACCTGAGCACCTAAGGCAGTGCCTTTGCCATTCATCACTGCTTACCGTAATACAGACCACTCTGGTTTGGCGTTTATGTATGTAATGTTATTTGCATAACTCAAAACTAAGGCTACTCTATTTTCAGGATGTGTTTTCCCCGTCTAAGTCTCCTGTGAGATATCACTTAATTTAGCATTAAAATGCTTTCTGAAGACATGGGAGCCATGTGCTGTTGTCGCATTTTAAAGCAAGGGAAGGGCAGCAGATGTGGCCACCGCAAAGCAGTTGTTACTAGGCCAGATGAGGTGAGGGCACTTGGTTCATCCACTGTCACTACCAGAAAGATTTCTGGCATCACTGCAGGCCTGCAGGTCCAGCCCAGCGCAAGCTCGGCAGCCCAACTAGTTACAGGTGGAAATAAAGGAACAAGCTGAACACTGCACTGCCCTCTCCCCTGGCATCTGGGGCTGGAGCTCCCAACACCCAGGTAAGGCTTGCAGTACGGAAGTCAAAAGCTTGTTCCACTCCAACTCTTGCTTACTGTCTCTATTTTCAGTGAAGACTGCTGCCAGGAGCAGTTCATGATTCTTTGACCATCTGCAAAAAGGATTGCATTTTTCAGAAGCTGTCCATGAAGTTCCTCTACTGATTGTTTATAGCTACTGTAATAAGACACTAGACAATACATTTAAAAAACATATTTCAATTGTATTACAACCATGTTCTTCCAAACTGTGAAAATCTAGCTGGCTTGGTAATAAACAAATCCATATGCTCTATACTACTTTGAAAGCTTAACTCAACTGTTTCACATGCCCAAAGTTAAAGACACTTTTCCTGTGCCATACTAGAGAGCTTACCACACTGCACACTGAGAAGGTGCACTCCTTTCATACTCACAAAACACTATGAACAGTTTCTCATTTCTGCAATTCCTTTGATTTAAGGGCCAGGCAGAGGTAACAATTGTTTGGGGGGGGTTTGTTTGTTTTTTTGCCCGATTTTTATTTTTATATAAACAACAGGGGAGAAACAAAAATACTATCATGAAGTCAAGAGTCAAACCAAATTAAAAGACAACGCAAAGAATTCATACTTTACTTCATGTCTATCCCCTATCAGTCGTATCTTGTAAGGCTTGTGATGCTTACACAGTTTGCTGTTGGTTAGAGTACTGTATTGTTTTATGCAGGAGCACATGAAAGCCAGTTTTAGTCAAAAGTTTCTTCTATCCCCATGTCAAGTTTTCCCATTAAAAAAGAAAAAATTAAATTCGTTAAAGTCCTGCAGACAAGACTCCGCCCATGAATAATCCTCAGGCCTGCAGAGCACAGAACTGCTGAAACACGGCCAGTATGTGGTGGTCCAGTTCAGCTGTAAACAGGAGGTTCTCTAGGGTCACCATGTACTGCTGGATTATCTGGTGATGCTGGCAGATAAAAAACAAAAACAAAACACAAACCTTTATTGTTTTCATTTATCTTTATATAAGAACAGGCAGAGAAGCCAAGGCACGTAAGAATCACAGGTCAAATGTTTTCAAAATTGTTAAGCACATCTTCTTTCCACAACACACCAGCCACTGACAAGAAAAGCATAACGCAGATCCACTACTGATTCCAAGCAAAAAGCATGTGCTGTCTGTCTTGAGAAGCACTGTGCTCCCTGTAGCTCTTCACTCCTGGACCCTGAATTGTGTGCAGGATACCATGCAACTGCATGGTGCAGAGATATCCTAGGAGAATCATAATATTTGCTTTCCTCTGAAGCCACATCTACTAGCAGGTTCAGCCCAGGGGAGAATTATACCACCACTCTCATTCTTCAACATATCTTCTGCTCGCACAGGTATGATTTTCTATTACTACCACTTTCATCCAGCCACCTGTGCTTGTTACCCAATTTAATATAGAGCCAAGAATTCGAATATTATTTTTAATAGATATTTCTGCATCTTATTAAAAGGAATTCTGCAATATTTTAATCCGTTTATTTAAAAGACATCTATTTTAGTATTCTTGTTCACTCACAACTTTGCCCTTGCTATAAACACACAGTTAAGAGGAGTTCAGCGAAATTCATAATCACATCTCAGTACCTTTTTGCAGTATGCTCACAGTGTGGGAATTAATCAAGCACCAGTCACTCCACCAGCCTGTGGCAGAAATGTGGCCAGAGCCAGAGCGTTACGACCTAGCCCCACACCTTCAGCCTTCAGAGAAGACATGCTGCTGCCACCTACTGCTACTCCCACGGAGTGCTCAGTTCTCCAGCCACAAAGTTTGTCTATCCAGCATGTCCCTGCCCACAGCCTTCGAAACCGAGAAATGAAACTTACCTGTAGGAAGATCTGTTGCAACCTCTCTATACAGCTCTTGTACCAAGGTGTAAATACATCAATTCCACCAGTTTCACAGCGCACTAAGTGCTCAGTTAACAACATAATGAAACGCTGCAGGAGAGGAAAAAAAACCAAACTTATTCACTCTTGTCAAACGAAAGCAGGATCCTA